GCTCCAAATGTTATGTTTAAATGAACCATTTTTCAACATTAAAACTATAATTCGGTGAATCCTCTCATGCCCATGTATCTGCTAGTGGTCATCACTAAGTACCACCTAAACTAGAGCATTGTGTGAAGTTACACTCTGCCAGTCACCTGAACCACCAAATTTGCCGGTTGCTAATTGGAAGGACCTTGGCACCTAACTGCATTGGTTTTTGATCTTTCACCTCAGACTATAAAGCTAAATTAAATCATTCCCAATCTCTACTCTTCATGACTCAGATTCACCCTAACCATTAAATTAAAACCATGTTGTTTTAATAATGCCAATGTAAATGACATGTTCAATTATACAAAACATGCTCGGTGCACTACCATTCAACAACGGATTTTTATTATCAATAATATCTTAAAAGATATGAAATGAGAATAACTAACAACAACTAGCTAACTACATCATCTTTTCCAACTCATCAACAACCATTTCTCAAATTCCAAACTCACAAATATATAGGGTTTTATCTACAATTTTGGGGTTTTCCAAAATTAAAGTTTCCAAATGCAATTTGTTATATAAAAAAAAAGGGTTTGATAAGCAAATAATAAAGAAAACCCATCCAAATCACCAAACCCTAACCTCATTAACATGCTCTTTCCAAATCAATAACAACTACATGCTAGTTTTTATAGTGAAACTATCATAAACACACCAACAAACTCATATAGAGTCAATGAAATAGAACCCTACCTCTTGAAGAGAAGAGGAGAAGCTAAGGGCAAGAATGAATGCTCAAATCAACTTTTGGTTGAGATTAAAACGATATCCTCGCCAAGCTCTACAATACTCATGAAGGAAATGAAGATCAGATCCAAGCCTAAATGCCTCAAAACCAAGCTTGAAGTCCAAGAAGCTGGTCAAAATCGCCATAGAGGAGAGAAGGAAAAGAGAGGGCACAAAACTGATATTTTCGCACACTGAGCTATCTTTTATAGACAAACAAATTGTGGGCGTGACAGAATCAATTGCGGGTGCAACAAAAGTGGTCGCAGGCGTGACCTAGTCATTCACGGGCCACTCCCGCGAGTGAACCATTTTCCACAGGTGAGATGCTAGGCGATGTTTTTGGTCACAAGCACCATCGAGGGCGTGATGGTTTTTCACAGACAAAGTACTGCAAGGTGTGTTTAGTCGCGGCCCTTCGCGGTTGCGATTTCATACATCACAGGCGCAAAACAAGTTTTGGTTCTAATTTTCCTGAAATAGTTCTAAGTCCAAATATTAACTCCACAACAACAAAGGAAAGAAAATAAACAAACAAATATAACAACACCACCACCCATCCATTTATAATCCCAAAGTGTGTCGAGACATATATATAAACGGGTTCAAGTTAACTTTTAGAACCAGGACACTACGAAGATCATTGGAGAACTGCATAATGAAGGCCATGTGAACAGAGACAAAACTCAGGCATTAGTGACAGCATAATACTTCTGGCCAACAATGCGGAAGGAGGTTTACAAGTTTGTGGAAGGGTGTCATACGTGCCAAGTATCTAAAGGGGTTACCACCAATGTAGGTCTACACCTACTCTTTCCTTTTCCAACTCAGCCGCGGTTAGATGTTAGCATGGACTTTGTCCTTAGCTTGCCTCGAACCTAGCAAGGTAATGATTCAATTTATGTGGTGGTAGATAAATTTTAAAAAGTGTCACTTTTTATTCGTTGTAAAAAGACTACAGATGTAGTCATGGTAGCACAATTATACTTTTGGGAGGTTTATAAATTGATGGACTGCCCAAGTGCATTGTTTCTGATTGCAACACGTGTTTTTTGGGACATTTTTGGTGTTGCCTTTAGAAGTTGGTGAACACAAAGCTGGATTTTAGCAATGCATACCACCCTCAAACAGATAGGAAAATCAAAGTAGTCAATCGTTCTTTGGGGAATATGCTTTGATGTCTTGTTGAAGATCACCTGAAATCATGGGACCAAAAATTGTGCCAAGCAGAGTTTGCATTCAACCATTCCGTAAACCATAGCACTGGTTTGTCTCTATTCCAAATTGTCCATGGTATTGTCCTCCATTCATCATTGGACCTTGCACCAATCCTAGACTTCAAGTGGACTCATGTCAAGGGAGAAGATTTCATGGCTCAGTTGCAATAATTTCATCAGTTCACGCAACAAAAACTACAAGAGACTTCTGCAAAATACAAGGAAAAAGCTGATCAGAAATGATGTTTTGTGGAGTTTGAAGTCAGAGATTTCGTGTATGCTGTCCTCACCAAGGATAGGTTTTCAATAAGGGATTACAACAAGCTAGTTGCCAGGAAGATTGGTCTCGTAGATATTCTTGAGAAGATTAACCCTAATTCCTACATATTGAAGCTTCCCGGTCATATATGCATTGCAAATGTTTTCAATGTTAAGCATTTTGTTCCTTACCATGGGGATTCTTCAAATGATAACTTGAATTTGAGGGCGAATTCTTTTCAAGCAGGGAGGATGGTGCAGAGTGTTTGGCCACAGAGTTCTTGTGACTCATGGACAAACAAGGCAAAGAGAAAATGCACTAGTAGACGCAAAATGGCACTTGCTCAGAACAATTTGGGATTTGGTCAAGACATGGAAAACGACGTCACGATCAATATCCATTGCTTTGCTATGGTGTACGATATATTTCAACTAAATTCCACTGTTTAGGCCTTTAATTACGTGATTTTGCCGTTTTAGAAAAGATTTGTTTCTTTAATTACTTTGTCTAAACAAATCCATTTGAGCTTAACTCAAATCTTTCTATTTTTTTTGATAAATTTCATATTCTCTTTGGTTTAGGCTTGATTAGTAAGCATTGCCTTTTTAATTTATTTCCTATTGTAATTAGGCCTCTCTTTTCACTTTAAATAGGAGCTGTAAGCCTTAGGACAACTCAGATTATTTTTGAAGGAATTCATTAAATTCATGGTTCATATTTGTGCTTGATTTTCGTTTCATTAATCTACCCTGCATCAGTAGTCCTACGAGATGGAGGATCTATAAGCAAATGCACCTAGTAGCCTAGTAAAGAATGAAGAAGGAATTCCTCGAGCTCTTGGGATTGGGACTCTCAACTACATAAAAGTGAAATGAAGTTATTTCTCATTGTCGTTTTAAAATTGAAGAAGAAGCATTTATGATGGCTCTGAATAATGAAACATTACTGGAAACACCAACGAGGGTTGGTTCAACGGTGAGTTTCGTCCTGCCTCGCCTAGATGCTTGAATTCAAAACTCCTCAGCCCCTTGTTAAGGCTATTCCCACCTTCTGTGAGTGCCCTGGCTGGGAGACCAGCGTAGCCTAGCTTCTCTTTTTTGTCACCCTAAATAAATAAATGAATATTATTGGAAACAAATAGGTTCTTAAAACAAAGTGCAATGTGGATAGTTCGATAGAGAGGTGCAAGGCTCATCTAATGGCGAAAGGCTACACCCGAGGGCATAGACTAGGAGGAACATTCTCACCAATTGCGAAATTTGCCCCTATTCACTCAGTTCTAACTATAGTAGTTCGGTTACACTTTGCTATATCATATGAACAAGATGCAAATGTAGAAGTTGCAACTCAACAAATTTCCACAGCTTTTTAATTTTTAATTTTTTTTTGGGAAACATGATCCAACATTAAAAATAAAAAATAAAAATAAAAAAGCAAAGATGAAACCGATAAATAGACAATGATCGGAACTTCTCTTAGCATCCTTAAGTTTAAACTGATAAATAGGCACTATCCATTACCACACGATGCAATGGAATAGCCAATCAATCTGGTTTCAGCACTAAAATCTACAAAGAATATAAGATGAAACACAAACCAAAAAAAGAGAACAAGACACAAACCTTGATCACTGATAAGAAGAGGCTAATGAAGAGTACAACTTTGAGGGGTTTGGAAAAGAGATGGATTGGAAAAACTGTCCTCAATTACATGCTCTCTTTTCCATTTTTTCCAGGCGCAACTTTGTAGAGGTTCAGAAATGTCCATGGCCTCATAACTCTCATAGCATGGACTTAGTGCCACCATTCACTTAGATTCGCTTAGATCCACTGACAGAAAAGGACACAATCTTCAAAGAGCCAAACATGCCGAGTCTCATGACCTCCGCACTAAAAATAAAGTCATACTTTTCGAATATAGAATCAACTTTTGAAGCCGAAACAGTTGGGATACTGGATCATCAACTGGAGTTGTATTTGAGTCGCAGTTAAACATGGAATCATTAGTAGAATCCGAAATACACTTGTAATGGATCATCCAAAATGATTATTCCAATACACATGTATAATTTGAAAAAATACAGTGATGTTGCCAGCATCGTACGTGGTGTCACCGACTAATAAAAAATTACAAAGGGGATAAGTCAATAAGTCTTATCTCTCACTATCTCAACATTATTGTAGTCCTTACCACAAATCAAGAATGCTCATTAGATACTGATACCGTTATGTGATATGATACCGTTACGTGATATCACCGTTACATTTAATATTTAACCATGCCTACTCTAGAGTTTTATTAGTCAAAGTCCTGACAGAAGAGGATTATTTGAAGACTTACGTGTAAATCCTAATAGATAAGCTTATTATTCAATAGGTCCTATAATAATCAATAGTATTTTTCATCAAACATTATTAAAAATGTCACTAATTGTTAATTTTCGACGACAATTTGAAAATTTTGTCACAAAATATATTACTAATTATAAGTTTTAACGATAATTTTTTTTAAAAAAAAAAAAAAAAAGAGATCACAAAAATTCATTAATTTTCAACTTTCAATAACAGTTTAAAAAATTCATCAGAGAAAAACGTCACTAATTTTAAGCTTTAATGACAATTTATAAAAACTATGACAAAAAAAATCACTAATTGTCAATTTTTAACAACATATGCTAAAAATCGACACAAAAAAATTATTTTGCACTACGATTTTACTATGACTTATTTCTAGTAGGCCTTGATGGAAACTTTTAGGATCTATTGGTAGTGTACTCAAGATCCATATTGGTTCCTCCAAGAAACCTGTTTTACAATTATACAACATGAAAAAAGCACCACCAAGGAGTGACAAAGGACCAAATAAAAAAGTGTGTATGTAAGTAACAAACATCACAACATATCTGAAACATCTGCTGCTAAAGTTTAGCTCACAAGCAGAAAAGGTTCAAAGTTCCCAAATGCAACACACAACATTAATATGTACAAGGCTTCATATTCTAGCTTTGAGCCTCCATAATAATAGCCACACTCTTAAGACATAAATTCTTTAGCTGCCCACCTCTCGTCAATTCTCCCAAATGAGTAGGCTGTAGGCATCTCAGTTAAGCGGAGTGGATCTGGTTCAATTCCATAATCTGTCAGCGGTCTTTCCTCCAGAATATCATCATGATTCTGCACAAACTCCGGGATTTCAACCTCTCCTTTACTTACATCTTCCCAAAGGTACTGCAGCCGGCTAATATACTTGATTTTCCAATATAAGCTGTATCCATACAAGAAATAATTGTGAGCACAAACGAACATTGATGGCATTGCTGGCTTGTTAAAAATTTACAAAACTCAATAAGTTACTGCCACTAGACTGATTGAGGCTGAGATGTACATTAAGGCCGATAATAGATATTATTTAACGTTTTTCTTCGTATAACTTGGCATACTTCACAAGTATTTAATTTGAATCAGGTTGGGTGCGCACAAGTGTAAAACGAGTCAAAACGTGGCTAAAATGGAAGTGCAGCGAATCGAATACTCCCACACATGCAGCCAACATTTCCCTGACGTGCAATTTTACCTCGGAAAGTGTGCGTGACTTTTTCAACCTGTCTTGGGAGTCTGAAGGTATAAAAAGAAGAATGAAAAGCAGGAGACGGGTTTGAATATTTTTTTGAAGGAAGAGGGAGACTAGGGTTTGAAAGAGAAGATTTGGACTTCAAGGTGGTGCTTCCATGGTGGCTTCAACCTCTTCCTCATCTTTCCACTCCTCCTTGAGCAGCCAGGCTTCTATTTCTAGGGTTTTGATGAAATCCTAACCAAGTAAATAGGATTTTTCTTAGGTTTTTGATTGTTGTAATGATTTGAACAAGTTGTATGGTGTTTTAGAAAATTTTCAATATATTTTCTACTATTCTCTTTTTAAGTGTTCTACTTTTTGCGATTGTTGAATGCTTCCCATACAATTGTTATCTTTTCTTTCGTATTTAAAGTATGAGACGAGTCATGCTACGAGAAACTAATCATGTTGCTACCCTAGTTTAGAACGAACAACTCGTACTACCTGAGATTATTCGTGCCTACACGTTGAACGCGATAATCTTCGTGATCAAATCAATACTTCAAGCTTGTAGTTGTAAAGTATTGGGTGGTTTGAACTATAGCACAATCAACTTCCAATTTTAAACCTTATTTATGTAACTAGTGGTGAATTCATTGCCTTATAATTTTCCTCAATTAATATCTCAAACCTTAATTTTTATTGTTAATTTAATTTCTCTTTTCATTTTAATTCTCGTTTCAATATAATTCTCTTCAATCTTTTTATCAAAATTAATTTTGAAATCTTGCAAGTTAAATTAGTTTAATTTTACATTAGTCCTTGTGGATCGATACCTGGATTTGCCATTATTCCAAGGAATTTGAGTATAATTTAGTGTTTATTTTTGGTATGAAAAACGACCCATCATAGACTAAAAATTTAGGGTTTATTTGCAGGAAATCAAGTCTAAAGTAAGGAAAATTTAGACATTCAGAGATGATGAAGGGATAATACAAATTAGAAGAATGGCAACAACAATCTTATGTGATTACTGAGGTTTTTGCATTAGGATTGGGAGATAATTAAGCAACATTTTAGGATAGATGCTAAAAAGTACACAAGCAATTATCCACATGCTTGAAATTAACTTCTAGGAAGAATGGAATGTGATAATACTATAATGATTTCAAATGGCACATTGGGGCACATATCCTCCAGTGTTAACTACTTTCACATTCCTCAAAATGACACAAATTTTGCAAAAGAAAATTAACCAAAAAAAAGAAAGAAAGAAAAAAAGAAAATACTTTGACAAAAATAAACATTCAAAAACAGATTTTTGAATTTTTCACAATTATTAATGCCCTCAAAAAGAAAAAAAAAATCATACGAAACTTATGAGTTCTTTTAAATTTTTTTTTTTTCTTTCACCAAACCAGTTTTTGAAATTTTTTAAAAACAAATTCTGAAAACCCAATCAAACAGAACATCAGCATCCAACCTATCAAAAAATGGGGCAGTATCTGTTCTGTTTTATGATGCAATAACTGGAAAAGAAAGTATTTTCATGGGTATAAGATCCTTTCATGAATATTTTATAACCCAGGTGAAAATAAACCCAATTTAAGGTCCTCAGAATCTCATTTATGGACCTTCTATGCAACCTAAATTTTTCTACAGAATCACTTTAAAAGTGATGCCATTCTACAAGCAATTCTTCCTTATCCTTCCAAACAACCTACATACACAACTATGAAGTAACTCAGATATGTTTTGAAAGTTCAGATGATTTTCTAAATTCTGAAAGTAGCATATGCTGAATTCAGGTGTTCTGATAGTTAAAGATGTGAAGAAACAACTCACCCTCCACTTAGAAACAAGCGACCAAGAGTGGCAACGACCAGCCTTGAGCGGAGCCCTGGATGAATGAAGTACACAACCTGAAGCCTATCCTTACAATCCGAGGGAAGGTCTTCATATATCCACCTCAAGATCGTTAGGCCAGGGTTGTTATCTTCCTTCTGCACAGTACTGTGCATGTAAACAATGCAGAATGGTCCTTCCGGCATCTCAGTACGTAATTTGTGAAAAACATACTTTTTCAGACGTTCACCACATATAACCGGAGCTGGATACCATAGATTGCACCAGTGAGTCACAGGGGCATCAATTATTGTAGAAACAAACAGAAGTCAACATAAACAAAGTATAAGGTAGACAAGGAACCCATGTGAGAAAAGTAAAAATTAGAAAATATAATGAAGTTCAAACAAAATTTGGAAACTCATTGGCACATCTAAAGTAATCAATTAAAGCTCCATTAAACAGAACTCATACCGTCTTAATTTCATTGAATGCAGTCATAAACATGATCAACATGTCAAATCCACAGGAAACATTTCACACAAAGGTGTTTGTCCTGCTTAAATGCTATTCTAAATATCTCTACATTTTCACAGAGATGCAAAATCTTGATGTTTCGTGGGAAAAGGGCAAAGGCAAGGGCAAGGGCAGGCGAAACATTCAATGCCCATTTTGATATTCATATATTAAATCATCAAGTTTCTTTCTTGGGGCAAAATGACCAAATCAAGCAAAAGGCCAAAAGAGAACAGGCGTGATAAAAATGCAGCAGGCATAATGTTGTGGAAACAAGTTACTAGTACGCCCAATTGAAAAGAAAAGCAGACATGCTTGTAAAACTTTGGTTTATCTATCTACTTAGTTATATGCATATTTACATTGACTCAATGATAATAATAACTCCAGAGTCCACCTCACACATCCAGATGCATTTACAGTAAGCTTATGAGAGTAAAACCTTTGGTGTCTCCTATAAACATTAAAGAAGGTTTTCAGTAAGCTATTCCACCAATCATTGATTACCAAAAAAAAAAAAGAAAAGACAATTGGAGTTCTTTGTTTATTTATTTAATTACGTTTTGGTAGTTCTTCACACACACACACACACAAAAAAAAAAAATCCAGTAATCCTTCTAGATACCGGTTGACTCATATATCACTCCATAAATCTTGAAAGCAATGGAAGCATCAACTTCTTTCGTGGTATTAGGGTCACCCAATATTTACAGAGAAGGTGGATGTATGTTGAGGTAAGTTGGGGCAATTTCCCCACTGGTTTTTTCAGAAAATTATTGTTTTGACCTTCAATTTATTTTTATTTTTTTCTTTTACCAAAATTTTTGATTTGCTCACACTGATTTTGTCTCAAAGGGGGAACGAAAACTATAATATCTTCCCTCTCATTGTTAGCTTCCACTCTCCTCTTCTTGCATTAAGTAAGTCAATAAGAAGATTGCAGATTGAATTAATTAAACCATCACATTCACTAACCATGTATTTGCATGGCTGGCTTGGATAAGTGATCACATTCACTAACCATGTATTCAATGGGAGAGTAAGGGGTGACAAGCACACCTCAAAATTGAAAAAAAAAAACTGTGTTATAGTAGCAATTAGTAAGACAATCAAAAATTTATAAGAATTTGCCCCTCCAGAATTATAGGGGTTCGCACCCCTGAAATCAACTATGTGACAACATTTTTAAAATAGTTTTCTAGTCCAGTTCTATTAAATATTGTCCAAATTTTATGTCAAACTAGTTAATATATTTAATTTCATATTTTTTTTTAAAAACAAGGTAGTCAATGTGGGTGTTTGGGAAGTGAGTTTTTTTGTATGTTTTTTTAGTTGTAGGATATTATTGAAGAAATTTTTTTTTGTATTTGGAAAGATAGTTGGGTTTTTTTATGATTGGATGTGATGTTTGTGAGAGAAAAAATGAAATGATTATGGGGTTTGATGTGATATTTTGTTTGGATTTGTTTTTTGTTATTTTGTAACCAATTCGTCTTTTAGTGAAAAAAAACCAAAAAACTTCCTTCCCAAACACCGCCAATTATTTACAAAAATTGAAAGTGTCTTCTTAACTGTGATATTTTATAGAATGTTAAAAGGGGTGAGGAGCTTGAAGTTTAAGAAGATGTAAAAAGTTTTACATTATTTTGGGGGAAAAAATGCCTTTGTATGCTTAGCTGTATGCAACACTTGAGGGGAGGAAGAAAGCTAAAAGGGATTGGAATTGCTACTATGATCATTGTGATTTGTCTAATGAGCCTATGAAGATAATGTAGTGCTCTCTCTGTTGTTTCAACTGTTATAGCTGTATCACTACTAGAATAGGCTTCAAGTTGGTGACTTGCTAACTGCAGAGTAGGTATGGATGTGTAGGGTGGTGTTGTTTTGTTTTCTTTCTTCTTTTGAGGTGGTGTCTGCAGTTTATGTTGCCAAATCTATATCAAATCAAGGGAGATGCAATTTTTTCACCAAATTAAGGGTGAACAACATCCTTCACTAAATTCCCAACATCCATATTATTAATCAAATTTGATGATATTTTTGAAAGAGTAAGGATTATTGGAGATGGTTTCCTTCATCCAAAATGGTCAAAACAAATTTTTAGGATAAGTTTGGAAAAACAAGGATTGGAGTGTTCCATATATAGATCAAGCTTTTAACCAAATTTTCACTCAAATTTGATGAAAAAGAGAGTAAGGATTGGAGATACTCTAACAAAGACTATATATTATCATATGCAAGTATACATGTATGTGTGAAACCCTTTCAATTATTAATCCTTAAAAGTTCACAAAAAAAAACCATATATACCCATATAATTCAAATAGTTCAAGTAGTGAGAAAAATACAGGTAAAAAGAAACAAACTCCATCAGTGTATACAATTTAAAAACCCACCAGAATTCATCAAAAAGTGAAAAAAACAAACTAAACCCAGATGACCAAAAGTTGAAAAGAGCCTTCTGAAAAAAACAAATAAAAAGGGTCAAACATAACTAAAAACAAACTGATACAATAGGTGGGTGGGAGTTAATTTTACCGGGGAAATATTTTCCGACGATGCGAAAGATGCGATTGGCGGATTTGTCGGAGCCGAAAAAACCATATGCCCATATAATTCAAATAGTTCAAGTAGTGAGAAAAATACAGGTAAAAAGAAACAAACTCCGTTAGTGTATAAAATTTAAAAAACCCACCAGAATTCATCAAAAAGTGAAAAAACAAACTAAACCCAGATGACCAAAAGTTGAAAAAAGCCTTCTGAAAAAAACAAATAAAAAGGGTCAAATATAGCTAAAAACAAACTGATACAATAGGTGGGTGGGAGTTAATTTTACCGGGGAAATATTTTCCGACGATGCGAAAGATGCGATTGGCGGATTTGTCGGAGCCGGGTTCGAGGCGAAAGAATTGCAAGGCGTCGAGATCGGAGAAGTCTTGGTCGGAGGGAGAGTCATTCAAGTTGTCTTCTGTTTCTCGCTCTGATGGAGACAAGAAGGGCCGAGCGTCTACCCCCAGATCTGACGCCAACACTAACACTGAGAAATCTTCCGATGATGAATCCCCCATATCGATCGATCGAACGAAAATTTCTTCTCCTTGAGCTTCTGAGCTAGTGGATAAGAGGATCTCCGCTTACCTATATTTTACCAAAAAAATGTTATTAAAAAATTCATTTTTTCTTTTACGAATTACTTTCTCATTTATCTTTCCCAACAAATTTCTCATTCTTTCTTTAATCTATTAAAATAAATTTTTTAATTATTTTTAAATTTAAATATTTTTTAATAATAAAATAATTAAACAATATAAAATAAAGTCAAAACAGTGCTTGAGCATATGAGAGAGAGGGGTGTGAAAGCGTAAGTAAATGAGCAATTCCGGTTGGAAGCTCAAAATTGATATGGCTCGAATGAGCCGACGGTAAAACGATATCGTTTTGGTGTGTGTATTTTTTTTTCCTTTGTTTTTTGTGCGTTTTTCTGAAGTTGAAGAAGAAGGAGGAGCTGCACAAGGAGCTGGGTTTCATCAACATCAACAACATCTTCATCAACATCATCACCATCACTATCATCATCATCATCAACAAATTTTTTTTTTTTCCAGATCCAGAACAATTGAAAAAAATATATATATAAAGAAAACAGATGGGTGTTGGGTTTCATCAATATCAACAACATCTTCATCACCATCATCACCATCATCATCATCACCATCATCAACAAATTTTTTTTTTTTTTTTTTTTTTCAGATCCAAAACAACTAAAAATATATATAGAGAGAGAGAGAAACAGATCAACATTATCATCTTCTTTAGATCATCATCTAGAAAAAAAAAAAAGAATCAGAGATCAGAGAAGAATCGGAGATGAAATCAACTAGAAAAAAGAAAAAAGAAAAAAGAAAAAATAGGAGAAGAATCAGAGATCGGGGTCGACCCTCAGCGGAGGCAGAGCCAGCGACGACGACCCTCGGCGAAGGCAATGACAGCGATCGATCGGCCCTCTCTCTCTTTCTCTTCCTCTTCCTCTTCCTCTTCTTCTCTCATCTCTCATCTCTTATCTTTCTCTGCTTTGCTTCAGACATAAAAGGAGGAGAAAAAAAAAAAAAAAAGAGCCCAAAACGACGTCGTTCGTTTTGGGCCGTCGAGCCATTCGGGCCACTGTGATTTCGAGCTACAAAGGATTATTGGTAAATGAGAGGCCCCAGTCCCAAGTCCCACAGGCAATGCTAGAGCAAATGAAGGTTTAAAGCTAATAGGGATAATTACAGAAGAAAGTAACAAAAGTAGAAGCTGGGGCCGAACGTCCGAGTGGACAATCGGTTAGGTTGTTTTTAGCATTTTTCTTCTTCAGTTACAGGACACTCACGGATGTCCGGGGGATATCCGAGGAGACGTTCGGGGGGACATCCATGGATTTCTCCTTCACGCCTAAAATGAAATAAAATAAGTATTTATCAGATATAAGGGAGTTACAGTGACTCCCTACAAATAGGGAGTCATTGTAACAATCTGAAATTTAAGGGATGGTATAAGAGATCTATTGGAGAAGAATTTGCGAAGAAATAACCCCTTGCAAAGCTATTATAAGGGAACTGATAGAGATGCTCTAAGAAGCCAAAAACAAAAAAATGATTCCACTTTTTTTTTTTTTAAACCAACATCACACCTAATTTTTTTTATAAAAAAAAAAACACTAATTATTTCACATCCAACTACAAAACCAAACAAACATTAATTATTTCAATACAAATAATTATAAACAAAATTATTAGTAGTTAAAAATGATTATTTACACAAAAATTATTAAACTATTGAAAAAAAATTACTTTGACCCTTTAAATTATTTATTGAGAAGTATCACTTTACCTTCTAAATTATAAAAACGTATAAATGAATCTCCTAAACTATTAACGTGTTTTATTTTGATTAGGGTCGTCTTTTGGTAACATTTATATTTAGAGTTTTTTTATTTACATTTACAGCATTTTTTAAAATTATAAAGTTTTGTTTTTTATTTAAAAAAATTATAAATAGTTTATAAAAATTTATTAAATTTTTTAAATACAAAAATAAAAAAGGAATTTTTATTGATAAATCCATTTTAAAGTTTTTGTAACCCATTAGGTCCACAAAGAATTATTATAGACTGATTAGTCCCATATATTTATCTTTTTATTCCATGAGATCCTTTTTCCTCATTTTATTATTTTTAATGAACTATTATGCCCTTATATATAGTGTTGATACACATAATAGATATAGACTTTTCCATATTTTTTGTTCATTTTGTTTTGGTAGTTTGTTGTATTCACGCTTTTGGTTTTGATTCTAATTCGGCTGAATATGTTTCAATTTTGCTGGCTTGTTTGAAGGCTTCGGTGTACTAAGGTTTCATTGTTGTTGTTGTGGCTCATTCGAACGGTGTTCAGTTGTGCCATTGTTTGGAGTATAATTGGTTCAAATAAATCATTTTCGAGGTAAATGACGAGTACAAAATTGCATGATTAAGGTTAGTGGTGTTGAATGCATGTTCAGTTAATGTTTTGATTTATGTGATGGATTGGATGCTCTGGTGTTTGAAGTATATGGATCGGTTGCTCTTTTTTTTTTGAATTATATGCATTTTGCGTGGCTCTGTGATGGGGATGTAATTCGGATTATGTGAACAATGTGGATGTTCACATCTCATTGGTGATGATGGTGGTGATATTTTGAGTTTGGATTTAGCAGTGTAAAATTTACATATAGGCATATACATTGTGTATGAATGTATGTTTGTTTTATGTTATGTTTTGATGTATGTGGTAATGCAAGTGATTTTTTGATGAGCTTTTGATGTTTGCTTAATGTAGATGTTCATATCTTATTAATACGAGGTTATGGAGGGTTGTATGCATGTTATGTACTGTCACCATATTCTATTGGTGTGATTTTGAACTTGTAAAATGTTTTATGTTGTGTAAGGATGGTGATAATAGTTTTCATTATGGATTTAATAGTGGAACTGTACACATAGGCATATACTTTGAATAATGTGAATGTTCATATAGTATGGATTATTGTATGTGTTGTTGTTTGTATGGTTGTAACGTGGTTGTTGTCTTTTGTTTGTTGTGTTTTTACAGGAGATGGATACTTTTATGATGTTGGTGTGCACATATGGTTACAATACAACTATAATAAATATGGTTCGCGCATTGTGTTATTCGCGTTTGGTGGAGTGTTTGTGTGAACAATGAGGTGAGTTATTTGCTTGTTTTGTTTCATTGTTTTGTCAGCTACCTAAGATTAATAGGTGTGATTTGGACAATGACGAAGAATTTCAGAACATGTTATTGCTTGCCAAATCAATGTGGGTACACCATGCAGAGGTTGTCGTTGATTTGAAAAGTGATATTGGTCAGTTGAGTAGCTCTGGGTGTAAGGGGTGGGGAAGAAATTGATGCACTGCTGAGATTTTGCCACCATAACGAGAAAGTGTTGTTGTCAGCCCCTTGGGCAAATGGTATTATGCGTGTGAGATAGCGGTTTGTTGGAGGTGCACAAAAAATTTGTGATGTTTTATGTAAGTATGCAATCTAATGCGGGTTCCAGTTTACATATGTCAAGAACGAGACAACAAGGGTTACTGCGGTGTGTGTGATGCACGAGAAGAGAGGTTGCTTGTTGGCTATACATTGTAAAGCACAACGAGTAAATGGTTTTTTCTATATTAATAGGTTTAGTGATGTGCATAGTTGTGGTACAGATGTCCAAACGTCGAAGAATCTGAGAGTTAGTTTTAATTTGGTGTCGAGTACTATATGTGAAATTATGAAGGACAAGCCGTTGACTCACCCATGTGAGGTGGTGACTATTTTGAAGCGGGATTATGGGCTAGATGCGAGTTACCACGTGGTATGGTTGGGTGTAGAGAAAGCAAAGCCTGGCATTCATGGAGATCACTCATTGTCATTTGACCAGCTACGGTGGTATTCGGATGTTTTGATGCACTACAATCCCGGGAGTTATGTCAATATTGATTATGACGCGAGTAGTCAATAGTTTTGTCGTTTCTTTGTATCATTCGTTACGTGTATTTCTGGGTACAATTCTTGTCGGCCTTTGTTATTCTTGGATGGAACGTTCCTCAAAGGAAAGTACAAAGGTTAGCTACTTGCGGCAATGGCGAAAGGTAGGAACAATGGTTAGTATTTTTTTTAGCCGCGTGTCTGTGTCTACGTAAATATTCACATTAAGTGCCGTAGTGTGGATATATGCCTGACCATTACATAGTGTAAACATTCACATGCCCTGTTGGCTTTTATAGTGTTTTTGTAAACTACTTATGTTAGTATTCACATTGGAATATTGTGATAAATTGTTTAATGGTATTGTGTTATATATCTATTCTCTGCTGCATTTGTGACTGTGGATTCAGAGACCATGGCCAATTGGTCGTAGCTCTTGCATGAACTTGGGAAGGTTATTGATGGTAAGCATCAGATTACTTTTATTTCGAACCGTAATCTTGGTTTGTTGGAATTGATGCCGAAGGTGTTCCCATCGGCTCACCACGGTTATTGCTTACAACACTTGAAGAACAATTTAAGAAACCGGATGAAAGGGATTGATAATGGATTTAGAGACGACATGGTTAGTAGTTTGGGTGACTGTGCTTACGAGCCAATTGTGATAGGGTTCCATGAAAAGATTGAGAAATTAAAAGAGGAGGGTCAGCAACGAGTATATAGTTTTTTCCAAGGAGTTGGCACCTGAACACTGGGCGAATTCATACTTCAGGTAATAGTAGTTTTCTAATGTATTCCATTTGTCAAGTTTAGAATGGTTGTAATGTAAATTTTCAGTTATGTTTTGTGATGATGTGAAATTTCATAATCAGTTCTGAAGAAATTAAATTCAGTATTGTACAATGTTTTGTGATGTTGTGTAAGGGCATGCGTTATAGGGAGATGGCATCCAATGCGGCGGAGTCATTTAATAATTGGATTAAAGAAGCATGCAATCTTTTTATCACTCGGATGGTGGACACAATTCATACTCGGATGGTGAACATAATTCGTACTCAATTGATGCGCCAAGCAAACAAGTGGAATGAGGTTATTTGTCATACATTTG